GGTGCTGGCGGAGGGGAGCCGAGCGTGTCCCCGCATGGTCACGTTACATTTTGCCCTTCTGTTGTAGAAACGCTGTCGTACACGGACGACACGGCCATGAGCAGGTCGGTGGTGCAGTCCCTGCTGGCCAAGGGGGAGTTCGATGAAGTTGATATGGCCAAGAGGTAAGAACTGCAGCAGCTTCAGGGGCGGCATTTACTAGTGAAGGCAAAACTCCCTTACGACTGAGCAATCACTGTGATGGTCTGTGAAAGGGGGCAGGGGCTAAGGCAAAGTCATTGTTAGTTTGTGGAGGGGGAGAAATAAATAGGAAAGTGGTGGCTAATCCTGTAATTCACTGCGTGCTTTGCCCTGGAACAAGCAGCAGTATTAGCTCTAGCATAGGCTCAGAGCCTCCCTTGAAATGAAGTAGGACAGGGCTTGCTCTGTTGCAGCTGTGTGTGTATATCCACCTTGGTGGAAGATGATGCTTAGAAATGGAAGAAGCTTTTTCTTTCATGTGTCTTTGTTGCTATTTATGTTTGTACTTCCCTTAATTCAGTTAGTGAGTATTAGTGAGGTCAGCTCCAGTTTGTTTATGATCCACTTCCCTTCTGAATCCACAGCCCTGGGAGCATTTGGTTCCACTTAAGGGAGAACATTTATTTGTTTAGAAAACTCTTCCACTGAACTTGAACAAAAGACTTGCTTTGTGGTTGTGACCCAAAGAAATGTTTCCAGTTTGCTTCTATTTCAAGGCAAAGTCAAGAGGGAAACAAGTGGGTTGTGAGAGGTGATGGTTTATTCACCCTTTCCTCCTTTCACGCTGATTTTTTGGGAATCAGATTCTTTCCCTGCAGACCTAAATCACTTGAACCCTGACTGTCATGGAATTCCCCACGTGTTATTAATTCACTTTATCAACAACCTCTTTAGAAACTCTGGAAACAGACCAAATACCCCATGTGCTTTGCCTCACCTGCTGCTCTCTTGCTCACACCAGGTTTGCTGAGGAGTACAAGAAGGAACCCAACAGGGGCTATGGGATGGCTGTTGTCAATGTCTTCAAGAAGCTCTTGAGCCCCAAGTGCAACGATGTCTTTGAACCAGCAAGAGCCCAGTTTAACGGGAAGGGCTCCTATGGCAATGGTGGTGCCATGAGGGTGGCGGGCATCTCTCTCGCCTATTCCGATGTCCAGGATGTCAAGAAGGTACCTACGTGCTTGGCTCCTGTGGCACCTCGGCTCTGGCAGTGCTGCTCTGAGGCCGGTGCCAGCAGGACCTCTCAGGTAGGTCTGCTGAGGGTGTGTTTTCATTCCCAGTTTGCAAAGCTGAGTGCTGAACTGACCCACGCCAACTCCCTGGGCTACAACGGAGCCATCCTGCAGGCCCTGGCTGTGCATCTTGCCCTGCAGGGAGAGCTCAGCAAAGAGACCTTCCTGGAGCAGCTCATCAGCCACATGGAAGATGTAGAGGCAGACGATAAGTCTCTTACTGACGCACGAGCGTAAGTAGCTGTGGGGAGCACTGACTCTGCTCTGTACAGTTCGTTCTGACTTCACATTCCCTTTTCTCCATTGTACTCTTTGTTTCCAGGCTAGGATTTGAAGATTTACCCTTTTCAAGGCGCCTAAAGAAAATAAAGGAATTCTTGGAACTCAGCAGTGTTCCCAAAGCAGATGTATTGTTTGAATTGGGTAAGTACCTTTCTTACTGTAAGTACTAGGAAAGAGCTGAAAGCAGGACTGACTCAGCCAGCCTGGCTGACGTGGCCTCCCACAGATTGCCACTTCAGCCTCTGCTGCCTGCAGGCACATATTCGTCGCTGTGGTCCTCCCCAGCCAGTAATTCTGAGTCTTGACCCAGCGGCTCCCTCTCCGTACAGGTGGGGGAAGAATGTCTTGCTAAGAAAAACTTACTGTGCATAATATTTCTTAGTATTCTAAGATCTCTTGTCTTAGTGGCTGTCAGGTTGGATGGGAATGGGGAGATGTGTATGGCCAAGCTATATTGGTGTAGCTGGATGTCAGTAGGACTGGGGAGCTATGGGGAGATCTTAGGGATGCAAGCCTGGGCACCCTGTCGTGGTAATCCCAGTACTGAAAGCAACTGGCAATAGGAAGCTGTGGTTAGAAGGGAAAAGGGCCTTCTGTGGAAGGAAGACGGGGTGTTCTGCAGCACTGATGGTGCCTGGCTTTGTTACAGGCAACGGCATCGCTGCTTTGCGCTCTGTCCCTACGGCGATTTACTCCTTCCTGCGCTGCATGGAGGCTGATCCGGACATCCCTGATCACTACAGCAACCTGCAGAGGACCATCATCTACTGTATCTCTCTGGGTGGAGACACAGACACCATTGCTACCATGGCAGGAGCTATTGCAGGGGCTTACTATGGGGAGGAACAGATCCCCCCAAGTTGGGAGCAGAGCTGTGAAGCTTTTCAAGAGACACAGAAGCTGGCAAATAGCATGTATGAACTCTACTGCCAGCGGCTCTGAGCGCCCAGGGGAGCGGGTGGTCACCTCTGCTTTCCTGGTCAGGATCTGGTGGTGGATCCACACCATCTACCTGTGAGCCTCCACCTGAGCTAGATGCTGCTGAGAGCTGGAGCACAAGCTGGTTGAGAAGAGAGGAGACATACCCTTCAGTTACAGTTTGGCTGGGAACGGGCTGCATGTGGCACCTTGGACAGTGGGTGCATCTCCTCTGAAGTGTACAGGAGCATCTTCTGCTGCTTGCTTTGTCCACCATTATGCCATTTTGTCATTGCAGTTACTAGGTGGGTGTCCGAATCCGCTGACCACCTTGCTGGTTCCCTCTTCTCTGCGCCTGTGTGCTGTGGCCTTTGTTTCAGTGGCCTGTCCTGCAGTGGCTCTGATAGGCTCCACACCCCTCTTAAAAGACCAGCTCCCGCTCAGCTGACCAGTTCAGGGCTGGAGGTGGGAGTTGTCAGAGGTACCTCCCTGGAGGATGTCCTGTGTGCAGCAGGGGTTACCACCCGTGTTGTGGAGTGAGGATGCTGGAGGGTAGATGTCCCAGAGAGGTTTCCTTCCCTAAAGGCAGAATGAGCAGTGGCAGAGGTTGGAGAAGGGCTTCCTTTGCATTGCTGGTTGTGCTGGGAGAAATGCCTTTGGTGCATGCAGGGTCCCTGTTGCTGCTGGAAGGGGGTGGGACTCGTTACTGCTCTTTGCTCTGCGATCTACCTGGCACCATTCTCATCTAGTGCATTTTGTGTTCCTTTACATGCTGGCTTTCGCATTGCTGCAGCTACTCCTTTGTTCCAGTTCTGTGCATCCTGCATTCTTAATGCATGTCCAGAGCACCACGTGAGATTGCTGTTTAAATCTGGGTGAGGATAGTTGTGAAACCTGGTGTTTAACAAGCACTGAACTCCTGGTTCTGCTAATGTCAGTGACAGGAACGACTTCAGCATGAAGCAGGAGTGACTTCTCACAGCTTTAAAACACTGTGCTTGGTAAGAATCATCTTATAAAAGGAAAATAAAGGAAAATGTAGTTAATTAGGGGAGAATTTATCAAAGTTTAAATAATTTGTGCATCTGAAGCTGGTGCTGGTGGCTGTGAACATTCTATTGAAGCTGGGTTGTTCCGAAGTCTTGCATTTAAAACCTTTGCCTAGTGGAGCTGGTCAGAAAGGCAGCAATAGCTTGGATATGGCACATCTAAAAAGGGTTGAAGGCTTTGTAGTAATTGAAAACAAAAAGGAAGGAAGAGGCAAGCAGTCACCATATGGAAATGTTTATAAACCCGAATGTGACCATGTAATCCTCTGTTATTGCTCTAATATTCCTTGTGACTGTTCCCTGCTTGCTCCCTGCTGGTATCACACACAGTGGTGGTGTGTGTCAGGCTGCAGGCACGTGTGGTTAAACCGGCTGTGGAAAATCAGGTCGTTCCCATTCTTCCTGTAGTCTGCTTCCTCCTAGTGCCAGTCTTCTGTGTGACGCTGTAATGGGCTTTCCTTGTGTAAACGAATTCCTGTTCTGAGAGCATGTGGAATTTTGGTCTACTGTATGTTTATGTATTGTGCTGCAGATCAGAGATGGACAAAGTCAGGTTTTCCACATTATTCTGCCACAAGTGTGAACGTATTCACATGATTATTTAAAGAAAGATATTTTCCTTTTAAAGCAGCTTTATAATTGTACATGTTGGGAACTCACAAAGAGCAGAAGAGCTCTTGAAATGTGTACTAATAAATCACTGAGCTCTGACTTTCTTGGAAAGAAATAAAATCACTTGGTTATCTTTGTTAATTAGCCACTGCTCCTGTCTTTTCATTCAAGTCATGAAGTTGTGCTTCTGTACTAAATGACAAGAGGAGTTGTATGAAAATCACCAGGCTGTTTCTTCCCACCCTGTGCTTCACTTTAAGACTCAATCTGAAACTACTTTGATTTGGCTTCTTGAAATCTGTAGAAAGCAGAGCAGAAGTTGTTTGGTGCTGGATAGAGACATCTCACGTGTAGCCAGGACTCGTGCTTCTTTTAGGGTAAGTTTGAGTACTGGAAATGTGCTGTAAAACCCACTTTCAGGCACCCTCTCTTGCCGAGGAGCCCTAATGGGAATTGGAGGTTTACTGAAGAGGCCCTTTTCTTTTGCAGGCTGCGTTTGCAGCGAGGACCAGCATGTGGAAGGAGTTCAGCTGCCAGAGCACAATGTGCAGCGATCACTCATGGACCAGGGTGTCTGCTGCGTGCTCCCACCACTGCTGGCAGGAGAACCACTTGTTCTTCATCACCACCTTTTGAAGGAGTCAGCCCACGTGGCAGCCTGGCTTCTGCAGAAGTGTCACCTGTGACAAGGAACATCTCCTCTTCCAGGTGAGAGATCAGGTAGGAAAATGTATTTTCTTTGTACTTTCAGCCTCTGGAAGTGTTTTGCTCCAGGTGATTGGCCGTTTCCTCCATGTGTTACTGAACTGCTTTTGCTGCTCAAGATGTGGAGGTTGGCTGTGGATGAGGTTGTGTAACATACCAAAACCAAGTGTCACAGAGAAACACAGGAGGGAAGGGGAACACCCAGCACTTTGCCTGAAATTCCTCAGATTTATAGTTGCCAGTGTGGAAGGGTCTGGATTTCATCCTTTTCTAAAATGAACTTCTGGGGACAGGAATCTTTTCCTTCATCACAAGAAACAAGCAGTACCTTCTTCTTGAGAAGGAAACAGCACAAGAGGTCTCTATGAGTGGTCTTTCTAGCAAGGCTGAGCGAGCCCATTAATAACAGGACAGAGGCAGAGCTGAGCCCACCTTTTATACAAGAAGTTTTATTGATGTTTTGTCAATACAATCAAGTACTGCAGTTTTAGTTCTGAAGAGAAGGCCAGTTTCTGATCACAAAAGGAGTGCATTTTAAACCAACTTTTACTATGACAGACAGTGCATGTAATAAGTATTTACAAAACTAAAAACCTCTATATACTAGGTTAGAAATGAAGATACTAGAGGCAAATTTAACAAAAATAGTAAGAATTTGTATATAAAAATGCACATTGTAATGCAGTTTTCATAATTAAAAATAGACATACTTCATCCAACCCAACCTTTTTTATTATTGTGATTGAAACCAAAATCCCATGCGCTCACACACACGACACAATATCCTTTCTGCTGGCGAATATCACATACTCAGTATTCCAGAATAAAAACTCTTCCTGACAGTGTCCAGTTTAGTGAACAGCCTCCCTCATCCTGTGCATCGTTTTATTTCTAGCCTAACTATGTGCGTGTAATACCTTTGCCTTTCCATTACTGTGTAAATGTAAGAGGTTATATAGCTGCGGAAGGTTGATTATGGTTTATGCTCTGCACATGAAGGGAAAGTGAAACAATTGCAAAACAATATCTACAGCACTGAAGGAGTTAATGTCTCGGTGTGGTTATAGTGAGTAATTTTGTCATTGCTTTTTTGCCAGCTAGAACAAGAAGTTTCGAATAAAAACAGAACAAGAAGAGATGGAATGGAGGTTAGAACACAGTATAAATTAAGTCGCTTTGCTGAGTAACAGGATGAAGCTTCCAGCCCGGCGTGGGAAGCTCCTGGCCCTGCTGCAGGTAGTGTGGGCAGGGGAAACAGCCCCACTGCTGGCCAGGGCCTGGCCTGGCACCCACTCCAGTCCCCTTGGCTGTTCTCCACAGGAAAGAGGCTTCAGTAAAGGAGACACAGGCCCCATCTTAGCACCCTCCCAAGCCTGGGCTTGAAGAAAACATCTGAGCTTCCACTTCTCATTTTAGGGACTCCGTGTATGGCTCCTGTTCCTGCTGGGAAATAACCTGTTATGAACACAACCCGAACGGTCCTGACACCCTCCTGCCTTTGGGATTTGAAAATATCCAGCGGGATCAGACACTGGGGCAGCCCTTCAGCTTGGGAATGTTTCTTCTTTTTACAAAACTTGTAGCTTTATGGGGAGAAAATCCTGGGGAGAGGAATGAGCCAGCCCCAGCCAGGCAGTAGCTGAAGCACTGGCCTTTCGACTGTATATTTCCTTGCTGTGTTTCTTAATTTCAGGGATAGGTGTGTTTTAAAAGGAAGCCCTGGATGGCAAGAGGCAGAAACACAGGACAGGCTTAATGAGAAAAACTAAACAAAAATAGAAACAGAAGAGTCATTTAAATACCTTGTACAGTCCATCTGGAGAACAATCCCAGGCCCCACTCTTGCTACATCTTCTTTGGCCATTAAACAGGCTTTAGGAAAATTTAAGGGCAATAGTTGCTCAGCTGGTGACCAAATTGTTGCTCTTTTCTCAGGGCTGTGCCTTTGCAGAGGGGCACAATGTGTAATACGTGTGGATTAGCTTCAGCAGCGAGCTGCTGCATCGCTGGGATGAGAACAACCATCCTACCATGAGAAAAGCTGCAAGCAACAGGGTTCAGGTGCTCCCTTTACCAAAGGACAGACAGTATCGTGCATACCTCTCCAGGAACATTCCAGCTCATACTCGGGTCAGTGACATTTCAAGCATTAGTGAGACAAAGTGATAACAGACAAACATGATTCTTTTCTTTTAACCTAAGTCACAGAGTGGCACCTGGAATGGTGCTTTGACAGGTACATATTGCACTAGACTCGTAAAGAACATTGTTAAGTAGATAATAGCACCGTGGTAAACTGACTGAATGGAAAGTTAGCATGAATGCTCATTTTTTCTTAATTAAAAGATCCCCAGGGGAAGGGGGGAGTTTACACATCCCGAAATAGTGAGACAGTAAAAGCAAGTTGTCCGTAAGTGGCACTTTCAAGGAAGCACAACTAAACCTTCTGTCAAACCAGGCTAGAAGCACCATAAGCCGGGCTCGCAGTGCCATCCTTGTGTTCTCAAAGAGTAAAGATGCTCATGAGGCCAAGCAAGTCTTTAGGCTGCACAGAGACAGACAGGACAGAACTAGCCCTTGGACTTGCTGGTAGATGAATGAACCCAAGAGAGGATCCTTGTTCATCACAGGGGTCCCAGCTTCCCTCAATGGCTTTGGAATAGGTCGTCTGTCATCCTCCCAGATGCCAATGCCTGGATGGTTTTATTCCTAAAGGTGCTGAGGAGGAGGGTTAAAAATAATATTTAATTCTTCTAAGAAGGTGCTTATGCAAAGTGTTCCACTTTTTATGATTATACATCCAACCACACTGAATCCGGAGTGAAGCAGAGAGACTGCTGCAAAGCACAGTCTGAAAGAACAGGCATCAGTGAGACCAGAACTTGGGCATCTGATGGTTTGGGAAGGAAATTTCTCAATCCACCACGGATCTCTGCTGCTGTAGAGGTTTGTGTTCAGTGCCTGGCACCCCTGTGTTGGTTAGCAAATACACCATCCATTACAACAGCTGTATTTATTTAACTAGGACTCAAAATGGGAAACAAGGGCACTTGATTACAGACCAGAAGGGTCTGCTCTTCCAGACGACCCTCTGGATCGCAGAGCAGTTTGCTGCAGAGCCGGATCCTTGCCATCCCAAGCGCGTTCCTGTGTTTGATGTACAGTCACTAGGGTAAAAGTTATTCCAAGCAGGCTTTGCTGAGGAAGTCGCTCCCCTGTCTCCCTTCTCCCTCCCCCAAAAAAGAAAGAAAGATGTCTCCTTTCTGATTACCCTCTTGACTCATGGATCAAACAGTGTGAAGCAAGGTCCCACCACAGCGGCTCGCGCGTTCTTCCCAGTGATTTTTTCTTTTTTGTATTAATTTTAAACTTTTTTATCAAAAACAAACAAAAAAAAGACAGTTTATGGCTAAAGTGGGTGAAAAGGAAACGTGCCCAACAGCCGTTATGTGGGGCAGAGCAGGAACCCAGAGAAGGAGGAGTGGATGTATTCCGTGGAGTACAACCCGTTGGCCTGGTCTGAGGGCATTTGTACCCAGACTTGGTCGTTCTCCTTGAGTTCAAGCACGGCACTGCCCGAGGCCTGGTCCAGGTAACCCTTTTTGTACTCGTCGTAGGTGTAGGTGGCGGGCACGTTGTTCTTATAAAGTGCCACCCAAACGTTGGTCCCTTTGACGTGCACGTGGTAGGCAAAGTAATAGATGCCGGATACGGGGCAGGTGAATATCCCGGTGACAGGGTTGTAGCCATTGTGCCCGTTATACAAAGTCCGGTCGAACTTGACCGGCATGCCCGACGCCGGGAATGGGGAGGTGAGGATGGCGGTGAAGGCTGGCGCGATGCGGGCAGAGAGCTCTCCTCGGCCGTACTGCGGCTTCCCTGGCTTCCCATTCCCCAGCACGGCCCCTTCCACGCCTCCATCTGGGAGGTGCAGCCCCGCGATGCCCGTCTCGTCGAACACCCCGGGTGCTCCCGGTGGCCCGGGTGGCCCTGGTGGGCCCGGTGGCCCATTCAGCCCCGGC